TGCCTTTTTTCATGCCAAGATCGAACTCGAGATGAGTTTCAAGCAATTCATTCTCTTCCCTTTGCTGCGCAGACACCTCCCCACTCATTTCCCATGATTTCGGAGCCATATTCTCTTCTTCCAACTTTTTGATTGTTTCTTTCAGCTGAACAAAGTTTTGTAAAGTGGCTCTAAACAATATTATTAGTTAAAGCCTACACGCTTGAGACTTTTCTTCAAACTAGAAGTCTCCTGCTGCGATTCCTCCGTATCTCCCAATAAAACTTGAGTGTCATGAGTGTTTCCATTTTCTTCTTGGATAGCAACCCCTTCTCCCTCTTCTAGTGATTGGTCTTCATCCATAGCAAATCGCACTGTCTTTTTCTTTTCCCTAAAATCAACGCTTGGAAAACATTCGCAGTGTAAGTACAATGAAACGCACATCCTTTCCAGCTCCTTTGCACGACTGCGTTTCTTTGCCTTCTTCTCCTTTGTTACACTACTTTCTTCTGTACCGTCAATTTTACCAAAGAAATCCTCATAATGATAATCGGCCGCAGCAGTTGAAGAGTCCTAAAATGGAAACTCAAAAGCAGTTTAGACTCAGAAGCTAGTACTAATTGCATTACAATATTATTGTTGTAAGAACACTGTAAATTTAGACAGAAATCGCCAATGAACGCAAAATATGATCACAACTACCAAATTTAAGTTCTTTTTCCAGTGTCAAAAAATATTCTAAATAAATAAAATAAAGCTACTTTATGAGCTGATTCATCTCGCAAACAACGACAAAAAAGACGGCAAAGGCAGAGGACAGAAGAAAGGATTGAAATCCTTTTGAATCAGAAACAGCACTTCAGATAAATTTCCCACAAAAAAAAACTACATTTACTTCCGCGAATTCGTCAAGTCATATAATATTAAAATAAAATCAAAAATGGCCGAAAAAGATGATAGATCAACAATGAAATAGTCCGTCCACTTACATCTACACTATCCAAGATGTTGAGCGTTTGACCTTCTGCACGATCCTGTTCATCAAGAAAAGCGTTCATCTCCGCGAGACTAAAACAATGCATTCATAATCACTATTGTGGTATTTTTCTTCGATGCAAATTCTGACCTAAAGAATTTATCGTCCACAGCCGAATGCGGATATTTTTTGCGCGGAATTGTATACTCATTTTGACCCTCCTGATTTTCATCTTCACCCTGCATTGCAGCCATTTCTCGTTCCAAGTCTTTTAAGTCTTCGTCTCTTGAAAATAAAAGTTAGATGGGAAAAGATAAAAAGCAAAATCCAAGTACAAACTTCAGATTCAGCAAATCTACTCCTTCTTCTCCTTCCTCTTCATAATCGTCCTTCTCACTTTCTTCCTGATCATCATCCATGTCATCCTCAGAGCTCAAGGCTTCCTCGTGCAGCTTCAGCCCAGTTTCCAGTAGCGTCTGAGCAAAAAACTATCCATTTTCATGGGCCATTGTGCTACTCCGAAATAATAATAAAAAATTGAAATCAACTCAGCTTGAGATGCTTATTTGAAAAAAACGATAAGCTAAAAGCAAGAGAAAAGCAGAGTACTAGGACTACTACTATATACTACAAAATACTTCCCCAACAGAGATGGGTGTAAGTATAAAAGCAGGTGTAAATGCAAGCAATGAAAAGAAGCAAACATTTGCTAACTCACAGATCTCTTTCTAAATTCCTTGCTTATCTGCTTGCAACGATGTGAGATAAACTGCCACATTGTTTCCTGATCACTACTTATGAGTTCCGGAGGTAGATCGTTTTTGCGTACTTCTAACGAGCTCGCGTACGCAAAAAGGAGAGAAATGGCTTTTCGAAACGATTTACTATGGAATTTTGGTCTGAAATAGGTGCAACTGCCTTTGAAAAAACAATGTTTTCAAGAAGATTACCTTCTGAAAAATTTCTTGAATGACTCAAGCTCGACATATTTTGCTCCATCTTCATTGCTCGTATTCTCTTCGCCTTCATTGACAATTTTTGGTTCCGAGCCCTAAAAATGGCAAACTAGAGAGCACGTCAAAAGGTAGTGTTGATAATGAGGGGCGTTCTTAAGAGATGAAACACACGCGAAAAATCACGCGAACGATTTTTGATGCCACAAAAAAATCCAGTAAACAGTGGTCTACCCGAGAATGACATCACAACGGCGAGATACATATCAATAGGCTCATTGAATGAGACCAAAATTAGCTGTATTGAAAGAGTCGATAACTGATTGGCATTATTATTATGTACTACGCCAGATCATTGAACAGCCACAATCGCATGTTCAGCGATGACTTGAACTACTGAACACCTACTTTAGTACAGTATCGATCAAGCTCGGTACTACAAAGAAGATCATATCAAGATATAGCATAAAAGAAATCAAAAACTATCATAGTGTACAATAAAATTTAGCCGTCCAAGATATCACAAAAAAA